AGCTTGATTGTACTAATCATTTCACAGCATATATGTATCTCAAAACATGATGTTGTACACCTTAGATATGATCTTGTCAATTATACAAAATTTTAAGAAGAAGTCATATGTTACCCTCTCCCTAAGCCTCTCCCCTGACCCATCTCATTCCCCCTTGGTTGGGCTTAGCTAATTCACTAAGTGAGATAGTTCTGATATGTTATTTCAAGATCACTCTTAAACTTTTATAGAACTTACTGTGTTTCAGTAATTAAGTGGGAAATCAGTTTTTAATCCCTGTTTCCCTGGTAGCTGAACGTCTGTCACTCCTGCTGGTATTTAAAATTAATGACAATTGAGACCATGTCAATCATTACCTTCCTATCTGCAATTTCTATAACATGTCTGACATGCCATAGGTAATTGATAAATATTAATGAAATTAATCTATATGTTCCTTTTAACCATAGACAAGAGATGTCTTGTGTATATTTTCTCACTAAAAAGCTTTACAAGTGGAAGTTTGTCCTATAATGAACTATAACTTGACAGGAAACTAAATTATTGAAAGATAATAAGGTTGTTTAATATATACAGGAGAAAACATGATTAGGAGCAAGAACAACTTGTGTTAGTTCAAATTTATTCAATGTTCCTGAACATTTATCTAAGAACTTACTTTTACTTTTATATACATTACCTTACTGTGGCCTTCTAACATAAATTATCTCACCCTAATACCCCATCACCCAGCCACCCATGGCAATCAATCTATCCAATTACCTTGCTTGATTTTTCTTCATAGTACTTAATTCCAACCCATTATTTTATTATCTACTTTCTTGTCTGCCTTTTCCTCTATAATACAGGCCCCATGACAGTAGGAACTTCCTACTGTATAATGCTATATTCCACTAGATCCCAGCATACAATAGGGGCACAATGAACATTTGTTGAATGAGTCACTGATATCATTGAGTCATTGCAGCAACTAAACAAACTAGAAATCATTTCCATTTTTCCTATGATAGAATTAATTTCCTAAGAGCACGAATAACTACTTCCCCAAAATTGTGCAACTTATAATTGACAAAGACTTGATCCAAACTCAGGATTTGTAGTCTGTAATGGTTAAGCTTGATTGTGTCAACTTGATTGGCTTTGGGGTCCTCCCAGGGGATTGGTGGACCACATATCTGGATGTGTCTGGGTGGGTCATGGAGACGTGGCCTTGGGGGTTTGTGTCCAGTCCTATACACTTTCCTCTCTGGCACTGTTTTCCTGCTCTGTTTCCTGCTGCCATGAACTAAGCAGTTTTGCTCTGCCATACCTTACACCATGACATTTCTGCCTTGTAACCAGATGAACAGGTTGAATCCCCTAGAATGGGAAAGCTGGATAATACGGGGTCCCCCATGCAGACCTCTTCCTACAGAACAGGACCCACACTTCCTCAAAAGGCATCGCCAAGATGTGAGTGAGACACCTGAACAAAGCTTTCAGCCTTGCCTGATGGGCAGACTCTGGGCAATCTAACCTGCAATGCTTAGCTCCTTTTATAAATAGATCTGATGGTGGCACAGGGGGAATCCATTGGGAAGTTGAGTTGAAGATGGTAGAACTAAGGGTTTGGGGGAAATTGGAAGTCGTCAAGGAAAAGGCTTCATATAAATAAAGTGTTTAAAGAATATCCCACAAATACCTGACCAATGTCCTGAGATACTGCCCTAGTCATTGCTACTGTCATTTCTCACCTGAGGAATTTCCCAGAGAGTAGACCCAAAATCATCTGCATTAGTAATGGAAGTGATGAATCACACACTCTGGGGTGAAACCTATAAATATTCCTTTTTAATAAGGACCCTAGTTGCTTTTTATGCATATGAAACTTTGATCACCACTGACTTTAAAATTGAGATAATTACCATGTCAACATGATACCTAGACACATTAAACAGCATAAAAGATAGGGCTGGTATAAACACTCCCAGCCCAGGGCCAATATGATTAAGAAAACAAAATTAATGAACAGGCATATCTAGTTATGATTTTGTTCCTGCACAGCTGAGCACAATCAAGGTAATATTCCCTGAAATGTTTGCTTTGATTTTTTTCCTCTTCAGTCATCATGAAATTTCCCATGAAAATATTCTGTAGGAATAAATCTTCAAATATCTGTGAGCTGATTATCTACTGTTAATGGTAACGAATAAACCTGTTTGTTTACTAATTAGTAAGCAATTGGGAGCAAATTTTAGTTTTCATTTTTATGCTTCTTTGGGTTTTGTAAATTTGATTTTTTAGTATTCTATTACTGAGGACACTAGGTAACAGATCGCTGGGCAGGGTCTTTTCACTAAAGATAGAGCATTATAAGTGAAAATAATTGTACCTCCCTCATGGAATTATTGTGAGAACTAAATCCATTCTATTGCATTTGGGCTAAATATAACCCAATATGTTCTTACAAATATATGCTAGTCTACACTATTTGTTTACTACTCCATTCATCTCCTTTATTATTACACAAGCAATTAGGAGCTGAGCACTGTGTCTAATTAAGACAATCATAGAACCTGTTATCATATCAACTCGCCCTCAAGCTCAAATAAAGCTGTGTTTGACTCCAGGTTCTCTCTTGGCCTCTTCTTCCTAAGATAGTGCGGTCATCTCTTCAGCATGTTACTTGGCCAGGGTCTTGGCTTACCCAGGTGACAAACCTGCTTCCTTCTAGCTAGTCACTGGTCATTGGAAAATAGCTTTGGATTTACAGATTATATTCCAGAAAGTTAACTTCCAACTCTTCATCACGATTTAATTTTCAATTATATTCCAGGAAACTTACCTTAAGGATGAGTTGTCTGTCTTCTCAAAACTCTAGATTTGCATCTTTAAATTAAGCCAGGAACAGTACTCAAGGCCTTCCTATCTAGATATTTTGATCCCTTCTGGAGCTGGCTTTGGACCATATTTCTCCAGAGTCATGCACAACACAGGGCAAGGCACAGCACTCGAGTGTGTATGTTCACCCTGAGTGTAGTTGTGCCCACCACATTCTACAGTATTACTTGTACTAGGACTTATAAAAGAGAGTTTTAGTTTAGGCCCTTAGCTTCTGGGTAACTCAATAGAGACCTCTAAAACCCTAGGAATGAAATCTCCAACATGAATGCTTAATTGCCTAGACAAAACTCCTCTCTACTGAATCTCAAGAGGAATAAGCAGAAAAAGAAAAACCTACTCAATTATGCAGCTGATCATTCTAGCTCTTGCTCCATCCATATCATATGTAATAAATGATTTTTTGTCAATATTATTATACAAATAGAAATATTTGCCTTTTGCAAAGATCACCATGGTCTACAAGTGGGAGTTTACCATTAAATATTGTCTTAATTATTTTTAAATTGGGAAGTTATACTTTCTGAAGGTTATGCAATAAAATCTAATATGTGAGTTCTAATAATCTTTCCAAAAAAATTTATAAAGAAAAGTAACCCTATTTGTCAGACCTCTTGCCTTAAACTCTCAATCCTCCTGCTTTAGCCTCCCACATGCCAAGACTACAGGTGCACCATCGCAAGCTGGTCAAGCCTCTTATTTGCAAAGTAGAAAGAAACTAAGGCTGACTCATGTAAGTAGATAGATGATTATTTTAAAGGACATTGAGCTTTCATAGATAAGAAAACTGGAGAATCAAGCTCAAGAGTCTCCAAATCATGGAATTTCTGTGTACAACTCCCATGCTGTCAGCTCAACTGATGGCACAGTAAACCTTCTAGCTGCATCTATGAGGCCTGGGCTGCTGCCCATCTACTTCTCACCTTCAGTGCCACCCTGTCATCACCTCCCTCAGAGTGGCATCTGGAGACCCTTCACCAGCTTCCCACACAAATCTGGACAGAAGTATGTGTTTGGTAGAACTTTCAGGTCATGGGCTCAGTCCCTACCTGCAAAAATGATTATTTGAATGCCTAGATTTATAGTAGGAAGAAATATCTGCTTTATAAAATGGGAAAATTCTCAAAGAATGAAAGGAATTAAAGATGTCAGAGAGCCAAAAGGCACGAACAAGAGTTTACTACAATGATTGATCTCTTCTTTAGAAACTGAATTTGAAATGTTATTTGAATATGGGATATCACAGTGGACATTTGAAATCTTTTTCAATCAAGGTCCTCCAAAAGGAGTGATTTCTTTTTCCTGCCTGCTATGGCTCTACTTGGCCCTTAAGCACCAAGATTAAGACAAAACAGACTGTTTCCAATTTTTCACAAGGGAAAGGCCTGCCTCTTTGCATCTCCTGACTTAACTCATGATGCCTCCTTGACTGTCCCTTCTACTATGCATCCAGTGACGTCTTGCCAGAGCATGTGGCAAGTGATTGTGTTCTCCATAGGTTCTGGACTTTATTCTGAACACATCACAGCTAAAGAAATCTCAAGGGGATATGACAGTGCAATGAAAGAATAAATCTAAAACCTTATATCACTGTTGTGTACTATCTATGTATTTTCTATTATAGATCAAAGATTATGACAGTTTACCAGGTACCTAAACATAAATCCTAGATTGTAATTTTTTTTTCAGCAAACAGATTCTTCTACTGAGAATAAGCCTTATGTCTAAGATTTCCCTTTTGCATTATATGGACAATCAATCGACTCTGCTGGTCAGATATCAAGTGGTCTCACTTTGTTTTCCTGAGGTCAACAGACAGGTGCCATGAATAATCACTTCGTGGAAATATGCCTGTTTCTCCATTATGAGTATTTGCCCACGTTTTTCAAAAAATTTACCCAGTTACACCACATTTTATTAACAAATAGAGCAGCTATTGAATATTTATGAGTGATTTACCCAGAAATCTGAAATTAGAGGGATAATTGTATGTTAAGAAATCGTACTAATACCATGTCTGATATAGTTTTAAAACAAAATAAAGCCACAAATTTGATTTTGCTCAACATAGAATGCTAGTGCAGAAAATAAATGTGCTGAACTCTGAATGCTGCCCTTACCTCGTCCTCCTCATAGGTGGTGCAGAGTCCTTTGAGGTCCAGGAGACAACTGAAGGAGGCCAACAGGAAAAAGCCAGACTCCCACAGGTACACAGGCAAAATAGACAGGAGACACAAAGAGTCAGAATGGGTCAGACTGAAAAGGGTCAGCAAAAGTAGGATTCATATGTAAAACCAAATGAAGACCCTGAGAGCAGGAGACAGGAGATAGAACTATGCGGAGAGTATGTTCAAACACCAAGAACGCAGAAAGAGGACGAGAATCCCACGCTGAGAGCAATAGTTCCCTAACTTAGCTAAATATTGAAATCACCTGAAGGCTTAATAAGGGCCGTAGAGGCTGTCCTGGAAGAAGGAGGAGCCTGGCCTTTTGCATGTTTACCAAGCTCCCCTGGTGATTCTGACAGCAATCAAGATTTAAAAATCACTGGCCTCGGGCCTTAGCTACTGGGTGAGAAAAGTGAACTCTGAAATGTCTTTGTGGCTTGTGGAAGTGAGGAATTATATTCCTCTAAAACAATCAGTGTTGCATGTTTGACTTTTCAAAACTTGTTGTAGGGTAAGCAATTACCTCCTATGCCAAGGCCTCTAGGTGTGAAAGGCAGAAATAGCTCCCCCCCTAAAATGAAGATGGAAACACAAGTTAAATATCGTATAGGATACCTTCACTATAAGGTCATCATTGTCATCACAGGCTTCACCGTCACAGGTCCTCAGCACCATACCAATGTTCTGTGCGCCAGCCTCATGCAGAGGACCTGCTACCTCTGGCGGATCTTAGCACTGTGTGTTTAAGAACTGGACTTGTGCACATCGGCAGTTCTCCAGTGTATTTTTCAAGCATGTGCACTGCTGTCACCTGACCTGTGCCTCTAGCTCATCCCTTTACCTGATGCTAGTGCTGCCTAAGTGCTGACTGAATTAGTTAACTTAATTAAAAATAAAAATCAAACAAAACAAAGCATTAGAAAATGTATCTCAAATTCATGACGTTAAGGAAATGTACGTTATTTTATGTGCATGATTTTGATTGACACATGGCAAGGAGATCTTTCTTAGAGTTTTATGCTATTCTGCTGAGTAGAATAGCTTTGTAGAGGAAAAGGAACCACCCAATCTATGACATTTTAATAGCAATTGGATTGTACCTGTATAAATAGAGGAGTCAGGAGGATGTGTGATCAACAAGGCTATAATCGAAGAACTGGGTTAGATATCATACCCATAAATTACAAATCCTGAATCTGACATCATTTGTCACTCTAGATAAATTGGGGGTCTTGCCCATAATTGATATGATTACTGACTCTAGCAGCCAAAACTTGTTTCATTTCTTGTGAGGCAAAAATCTTAATACTTTATATGCTATTATTCTTTAATACAACTGATCTTTGAACTGGTCACCTCAAAAGTATCTATTAAAGGCTTGATGCATTCATTCAAGCCTGTTTGAATACCTGTGCCAACCTCTAGGTATCCAAACATGAAAAAGATAGGTCTTTATCTTCTAAAAGTTCACAATATAGAAGAAAAGTAGACTTGATTGAAAAATATGTCATCCTACCTCTTCCAAACACTCTTCAGAGCTGTTTCAGGAATCCCTTGATATTGTGATAGTCTTTTGAGTGTCTCTTTTCAAGTCTGTTTCACTACTTGCTTGTCTTTTCTATTTCCAAAATTCATTCTTTTGCAGTTCCATTCTAAAGAATGCCCAAAAGTGTTTTATTTATATGATCCAAATTCATAAAAGCAGCATCACTTTTCTTAAACTCCTAGATAAATCTAATTCTAAGCCCCTGAAAATCTGAAGACCTCAAAATCATCCCTGGGGATTTAAAGTGATCTATTGAAGGAACCACACCTATGTTTAACCAAAAGCCTTTTAATAGCCAGAGTTTTGCAGCTATCTGTGGTAAAGAAAGAATATTGAAGGGAAGAGAAGATGGACTCTAAAGCAAACAAAATTGAGGTTGAATTTAAACTCTAAATTTTCTGTCTGTGTGACATTAGGCAATTGTTGAAGCTTCTGAAATTTAGTTTTCTTGTGTTTAAAGTATATATAAAACCTGCCTTGCCCTGTGCCTGTAAGAATGAGAAAACTGTTCATAACAGGTTCTTTATAAATGGTAGCTATTACTGCATTATTCCTAGCTCAATTACTTCTAGAAATTAAATTATCAACTACAACTTGGATAATTACACACCCATAAAATAAATGCTTTACAAATCTGGTTAAATAATGAAAGTCTGAGGTAAAATACTCTTGTTTTTTTCAGATAAATATGTTTTCCTGCCCTGTATATATAAAAAATACACAGTTGTTGATCTCACTTGACCACTGCTGGAAGACTCCTGGTCACACCAAACCTGTTTTAGAAAAGAGATAAACAAAGGCACCCCAGTCTCCCACTGCTGACTCTGGCTTCTTCAGGCCCTTATTTTCCTTCCCCTTCCTCTTCTTACCACCTGTGTTACATATGTTTCTTTCTTCTTTAATTCTTCTACTGTGGAGAGAGCCTGTGAAAAATATACCTAAAGAAATACTAGCCAGTTTGCTAGCCAGTGTTTAATCAGTACAACAAATACCTGAGATAATCAATTTATAAAGAGAAAATGTTTATTTTGACTCACATATTTGGAGATTCGAGTCCATGATCTGTTGGTCTTGATGCGTGCAGACCTGTGGTGAGGCCACATATCATGGTGGGTATGGTGTGGTAAAGCAAAACCACTCCCCTAATGGCCGGAAAGTGAGAGAGTGGAAGAGACTTAGGACCCAACTCCCACTAGGACCTATCTCTTAATGGTTCCACCCCATGCCAAAAGCACCAAGCTAAGAACCAAGCTTCTAAAACATGATACATCTGGGGACATTCCAGATCCAATCTATAGTAGTCCCAGCCCCTTGGGAGGAGGGAGAAACTATTTGCAAAAAGAAGCTTCCTTCACTATCTATTTTCACTTTCCTAAATTTCCCTTACATTTTCCTGTGTTGACTGAAACAGTTTTTTAAAAACAAAAATCATGGAATTATGGGCATACTCTGAATCATGATGAGAATCTGAGTACCCAAAGAAAATATAATCCCTCTAGTTTAGGATCCTTGATAGCGCATGAACTAGTGCTAATAATCCATAAATTTAAATGGCTGCATGACTGACTCATGATAAAGCAAGAGGATAACTAAAATGTCAAATTTAATTGTTTCTAGGGCCAGGGATTTAGCTCAGTGGTTTCGCCACCTGCTGCGCAAGCACAAGGACCCAAGTTCTATCCCTGGTACCAAAAGAAAAATTTAATTGTTTCTGGTGAAAAATATATCAACTGAGAGACCCATTATTAATTATCTTATGCCTGGCAGAAGTTTTGACCATCAAAGTCAATATTTCAAAATAAGGGATAAGGGAAAGAAAAATAAAGTCTATTATTTAGTGATAAAATTTTGGAAGACATTAGTCTATCTTGTTTATCTGGGAGTGAGAATTTTATTAAACCATGACACTTTTTTAACAGCCCTCCCTGTGCCAACATCACATATCTTTGGCGGGAGGATCTTGTGTCCCGCGATTTCTTGTCTAAACCTATTTACCTGTTCTTGGTAACATCAGACAACTCCTGTGTTTCTCGTTGGCTAAATCATCAACCACCATTACTCACTGGATGATTGATAAGGAAAACTAAAAGAATTAATGTATTTTGCAAATTAAAACGCATTCTTGTGTTTCCCAGAACTGCATAATTTATAACAAAAAATCAATTAGTAAAACTCATTCCCTGTAATATGTTTGCTGAATACCTCAAGAGCTATAGTTAGAAATAAAGGACATTGCCCTAAAGCATTTTAAGGCCTGTTAGCTTCCAAATACCCTATTGTAAACCAAGCTATTTATCACAACAAACCATTTTAATTAATTTTATTTATTTATGTGCCTTCTTTAATAGCATTTCTCTCACAGTACTCATACTTTTCTTGCTCTGTATGGTACGATAAAATATAAGTTTGTCTGCCAAAAGCAAATTCTGGCTGGACACTTGGTGAAGAATTTAACAAACATACCACAGTGGTCATTTTTCTGTTGGTAAGATGGATTCTTCACTTTCACGGTCAATCATTTTATCTCTCTGAAGGAAGAAGTAATGAAGGAGACAGAAACAGTGAGTTGAATGGGTTTTTAAGTAGAGAAATTGGATGCAGAATGTTGTCCCTTCAGAAGAACCAATTATTTCATCTAGGGTGTGTTACAACCAACGTTGGGAAGACCAGTGCTGTAAAAAAGGAGATTACAGAAGGGTTGGTTGAGTAAGATTCCTTAGACAGAAACTCTGAGAAGGGAGACAGTTCAAGAGGAAAGGAAGCTCGCAGACATAGAATGCTGACAACACAACATCAGATACTTCCACTGAGGAAGAGAAGGAAGAGGATGTGGTAATCAACTGTTGAGGAGCCACAAACAAGTGTCATGAAACTGGATGAGCAATGTCAGACAGATTAAAGTCAAAAATGAGAACAAGCTTTCAGAAATCCCAACAATCAACAAAAAAGAGCCTTTTGGTCTGTTTGAAGCAGATGGAGAAGATAAAAAGAATAGATACGTGGCTTTGGGCCACTGAAAGTAAAGAAATGACAGAAACTCTGGAATATCAGTTCCTGTTTTTGTTTATCTTCTGTCAAAGGAAATGCCAGTAAGCCCAGAAAGGCAAGAATGGACCTCATAGTTAGAGAAAAAGACCCAGATTAGGCAGAATCATGCTGGAAAATGGCAGCCAGCTTCATTAAACAAGCTAAGTGCTTCTGACCACATGAATTCCATTTCAGGTTTCTGAAAGAAATCCAAAATGAAGTGGCTGAGCCGCATTAGAATTTACATGGAGGAAACTTACAGAAAAGAGAAGACATTAGAAGAAGGAGATGAGCTAATATTGACTTAATATACTTAAATGATGAGGAGTAGGACAGGGTGAATTTCGTTAATTAAACTCTTTTAAATTCTGTGTTGATTCTGGGCAAGGCAAGAATTGAGAAAATCAAACTGGATCAGTTTGGAGCCAGCATGGATTTGTGATGAACAATTCAAGCCAGACCTAACTCATTTTCTCTTTTGATAAAATTACTAGAGCGGGAGACAAGAAAAATGCTGGGGACATATGTGCCTGAATTTCAGCTAGGCATTTGACAGGCTCTCTCATTTTACCCTTGCGGAGAGTACAGTATTTCCCAAATTGGTATCTGTAAAGAACAGACTTCCATAGGATAT